TGATGGAAGGGTGTCTTGTTAAATTAAATCTAGGATTGCCATAGCAAAAGCCGCATTTAGCAAGAAGAAGAATCTTTTTACCAGCAAATTGGACTTAAATTTGAGAAAGAAACTAGTGAAATGCTACATTTGGAGCATGGCTCTCTGTATGGGGCTGAAACTTGGGACACTTAGGGCAGTAGATCAGAAACACCTGGAAAGCTTCGAAATGTGGTGTTGGAGAAGGATGGAGAAGATCGGTTTGACCGATTATGTGAGAAATGAAGAAGTGTTATTTAGAATCAGGGAGCAGAGGAATATCCTACACGAAATAAGAAAACGGAAGGCTAATTGGATTGGTCATATCTTACGCGGTAACTGCCTTCTAGAAGAAGTGATGGGCGGATAGAAGTGACCAGAAGACGAGGAAGAAGACGTAAGAAGATGCTGGATGACCTTGGGGACAGAAGAGGATGTTTTCATTTGAAGGAGAAACCTTAGATCGCATTAAGTGGAGGAACTGTTTTGGAAGAGAATTTGGACCTGTCGTCTGACAGATTACTTATGAATGAATTAGCTGCTGTAAAAGTGCAGGGCGAAATCAACGAGATTATAGCGTGAATCGCCAATGTCTTTGCGTTACGTTCCCGCGAGTCTCCACTGAATGTGTGCTTTATTATATATTTGGTATCCGTGAAGAATTATCCGATGTCCAAGTTCCGGTTAGTTATAATAAAATCTGAATTTTTCCATTTTCCAGGTGGTGAGATGTCTGAGGAGAACGAGCGAGACGCAGGGTTCTGCTCCGGCGAAGATTTAGAAGATCCTTTAGAGGCTGAAGACGATCTCCACTCGCCTACAGACGTCAGTGAAGACAGCGTAGAGGTCAAAGTGCTGCCCATCAGTCTACGAAACATCAAGAATAAACGCAAATGTGCTGAGCCTCGCAAAGTTGCAAGCGAGGATGACGATGTTCTTCCTCCTTATAAGAAGCGACGTCACTTCATCAACACCGAGAGCAACAAGAAAGCATCACCAATCCTTCAGGTAGATCGCCCACCGCGACCCTCGTCCGTGACTTCTCTTCCTGGAGCCATAAACCCGCGGTCAAGCCCGGCAAGTCCTTTCCGGCCTTGGAGCCAGCAGACAGTAACCCAACCATCAGTACGTCAGGAAGTGAGACAATGTGTCTCGGCGTCAGTCAGTACTCCATCCCCACCGCCGCCGTCCTACACTCCAGCTCATCTCCCGCGCGCACCTATACCGAGACGATGCCAGTCTGCATACATCACAGTGTCAAGACCCCCTGCCAAGCCCAATCTTGCGCAACCTTACAATGACCGGGTACCCAATCTGCCCCACCAGCAAGACGAACCGTTATCACTGGTATTGAAGAACGTGTCTCATGCAGATGATGACAGAATTCCTCAGAGTAGAGAGCAGACGTTGCATGGCTCTGAAGTTTCCCAGTCGGAGGGACCAGTGCATCCGTCAACAGCTTCGACACATGCAAATAGATTGAGATTCGATGTACCTGGAAGACTTGAGGACGTGAGATTTTATGGTGTAGCAGGTGCTATAGTGAGAGGTTTGACTCCTGTGGGTAGGTTCGGGATATCACAGTCTCGAATCTTACCCGAAAGACGTGGCATGACTACGCAAGTTCAGGACCGTCCCATAGCTAGTGAAACCATTGTCAGATATCCCTCAGCTAATGTCAGTAGGACTCAAAGGTTTGAGGCTGTTGATTTTTCTGTTACTCAAGCCGCTAGTTCTGTCTCTGTTGGAAGAAGGACGTTGTCAGAGTGTGAGGACAGGAACACGGCGGAGGTGGAAGATCTGAGTTCAAGTTTGAAACAGCGAACAAGTAATGGGAAGTTCAGTGTGGAATCTTTGCTTGGTGGTGCAAAAGATTCTAAAGGGCACGACGAGCAAAAGCCGGGCCCCTCGTCAATAGCATCAACATCATCTAACAACAATGATCAGCAGAAACCCAAACAGAGTAGTCTAAATGCTGGTCAGCAAAGGAACTACAAAAACATGACGCGAGAGAGGCGCATAGAAGCGAATGCTCGTGAACGGACAAGAGTTCATACCATAAGTGCAGCGTTCGACACACTTCGACGAGCGATCCCAGCATACTCTCATAACCAGAAGCTGTCCAAGTTGTCCGTCCTACGCATAGCTTGCTCCTATATCCTGACTCTCTCGCGAGTGGCCGGTGCTGACTACAGCGTGGACAGCAGTGAGCCTTCCCTTGCAGAGTGTGTGGACCTTGTTTCTCGTACCATCCAGACTGAAGGAAAACTCAGGCGAAAGAGAGACGATTAGTTTATCTCAGTTTTGTATTTCATTTACCATCAATACAGTTTTCACCGGATATGGATAACGTATTAACACTCACTGACTTCAGTAGATTGATCTGTTGCTTGTCTGATCAGAAAGGCTGATTGAATTGTATTTTAATATGACATTAAATCATTTGGTAACGCATACATTTTCAAACTTACAAATTTCTTTGCAATATTGATTTCTGCAGGAATATTTCTTTTATTCTCAGAAATGATTCCAAATTAATATCGTTAATTTCCTTTGTTGAATGTCATTATTGGTATCATCCTTTCTACCCCAAGTAAGTCCTGGATATATCGAATGGGACTTGCTGGAACTAAGTGAACATAAACATGTTCCAAGAAGTGCATTATCACAACTATGTATATTGAATTTCTTTTAAAGACAAATCGGATATGCGCCTGACCAGTAATTATTTGTATATTAGGTAGCATCTGTGATTTAGAACCATTCTTGAGCTCAAAATTTGAAATTTTTGTTAACATTTGCAATTTGACCGACAAATCAGTTCCGAACATCTTCATGTTATATGGAAGTTGCGCTTACAGATATACATCAGAAACCCAACCGCAACCTCAAGTTAGGTATGGAAGAATTTTCAAATATACAATGAAGATACTGAAACAAGTGATTTAATTATCCCATATCTTGAGATGGTACTTCTGTGTCTGATGGTAAACATATTTGTTTTGTTTAATTCTGATGTGGCTGCTACCATCTTTGATATGCATCCGCAAGCAGCCCGGCGTAGACGAAAACAACGCAAAATGTAATGCGTTCTGTCATCACAAATTAAAAGGAAGACTGATTTTTCTTGATCAATTCAAAATGAGTTACAAATCTTGCATGGGAAACTTGTTCACATAATTTATGTTCTTTCTTCTTGAAGATTATTTATTTATATTATACTGTTTAATTAATGTCATTTCAAATAGTCACTATGGATCTGAGTCATTGTCTCTTCCAAACTAATGCTAATGATAATTGACGCATAAACATATTTCAAAGTACTGTATGAATTTATATTAATGAGAAAGAGATTATATTTCTGCATTTTAAAGTTCAAATCTATAGTTAGTTAAAGGTTATGAACATGTTAGAGAACTAAGAGTAGAAAACAAATTTAAAGTGGGGGATAAGGTGTTACTTCATCTTCTAAAATAATTCCAAAGATCATACTTATCACAGAGTGTAAACACGTTTCTTCTTGAAGTGTACTTTTTGTCTTGAACCAGAGGTTTTGGATGTATGATAAATAAACCTAATCTAAATGAAAGTGGCCAAATGCAATCAAATAGAAAATCACGTTATTTTTTACTTCGGTATTGCGCCGGAGTTTGAGAGTGTTCCTACACATATTTAAGAATATATAGACTTATTAGGATTGAACTGAACTTCCTGATTTGTAAAACATCCAATTTTAGATTTACCAGATAAATTCTTAATTGTAGGAAGTAGAAATTAACCTTATACAGAGATTATGCTACTCAACAATAGATAGTTCTGCGTCGTTTCTTCTTTGTTTCTATTAATGCCGAAATTACACCTATAATGACACTTCAAATATAATATTGTATATTCTCACTGAAAGATGTTATCTCATAGAACGAAATAACCTATAACAGAGTTAAATTTATTCAAAATTACATATATCATTTCGGATGAAATAAAAGATTTGAATTTCAAAAAGTCATCTATTCTTCTTGGTACTCATACAGAAATGTTTCATTTTTCTCCAGCTTTTAGCTGACTGCACTTAAGGTAAAGGCATAACTTAGAATTTTGGGGAAAAATTTTTGGAGTGGAAGATTGCGGCGTTACATAGCGGTAGTTAAGAAATTCTCTGTCTTTTAATGTGTCTTTGTAGATCAATTTATAAACAAATTATACTGTAAGTGAACGCACAGAATTGTTACATGAAACCGTTTTTCTTGACTCTTTTATTTGATTTCTAAATTTAATCTGTATGTTGTTTGCTCTAAATCTTTTTAAAAATGAAGTTTGGAAAATTGTACACCTCACCAGAATGCGCAGAATTTTCACGTGCGTTCTTTGCAACTTTGCATTCTGAATGCTCCTAGCTCTTGCAATTATATTCATATTTTATAGGACACTAGCAAGATTACATAGGTCTACAACTATGCTCGCCGTCTGCTTTCATGCTGGCATATTGCTTGGCTTATGCGACCCTGATGCTCGGGGCACTACGTTCCTGCAAGCGGTGTCTGAATTCCAAGGGACTGCACGGCTTTATATCCCAGAAGATAGAAATCCTCATAACCACCGCTTTGAGAGGTATACCCGGTAGCATAGTTGGTTGAGGCACTATGCTACAAGCCGGAAGGTCGCGGGTTCGATACCCGTTGAGGTCTCTGGATTTTCAATTGACCTAATCCTTCCAGCAGCACCATGTTCCTTGGGTCTACTCAGCTTGTAAAACAAATGAATACAAGGAATCTTCCTGGGGTTAAAGGGCTGCCGGCCAATAAGACTGACAACCTCACTCCCATCTGTGAGCCGATTGTCTAGGGAAAATGTGGGAGCTTCGACGTCTCACAACCCTTTGTGTCTCCACGGCCTTTTAAAAGAGATAGCTTTAACTTTTTGCCACCGTTTTGAGAGCCTAAAATCCTACATTTAGATAATGTACTAAATGGCATAATGCAGATACCAGATTTCATAAAAATCCGTCCAGAAGTTGTCGACTTGTAATATGAGGACAGACGAAACCAGGCCCATATGTGTTAATTTTGTGCATGTTGTACAAAGAACGCATTTTGGTGGCAAAATGTTAAATTGTTGTTTGAGAATGATAAATTTCTACACAGTACAAACGTTTTAAATTTTTATTTTTATTTATGTTTATATTCGGTTGAGTTATTTCTACGCTAATCTGGTCAAACAGTATTTGTGAAAGAATGTTATCGTGATATTTGACTTAATTACACAAAGTGTGAATATTATAAATAGAACATGTAGCTCTCCTAGATTGTGTAGCCCCAGTGTTCAAGGCTTGTACATCTCTGACGGCCTATCCATACTTTCAGACGGTTGTAAGTTGTTCTTGATTTGTCAGCTGTTTTTCTTACAGTATCGCGATTTTTCCACAGTATGATTGAGGTGTAGTTTCATTTTGTAATATTAAGTTTGATTTAATACAAGGAAAGAATAGAGGAGTATTGAGGTGTTAAACACCTAATAATGGGCTAGAACCTAAGGCAATGTACTAATTCATGGGGTGTGTTAAAGTACAGTCCCTCAAAATATAAAATAAAACAGCAATATATTGTCCTGTCTCAAAATACGTTTGAGTTTTCAATTTAATATATGAAGCAGCACAGACATGTCACTGTACAAGTGTTTGCACAGTGTCTAAGTGCTCAGTTGGTTATGCCTGCAGTTAACTACAGTATCTAAACTGCCTAATCACATTGTTGATTTTATATTCTTACTGAGCAACAATTTTGAAATATCTGTTTTTTCTTGAAGCATGCTCTTAAATAATACTATCTCTTGTCCATAGAGAGGAATTGGGAGTTGAGTCAGGGCTGAGTCTAGATTCAAAACTTGATCACAGATTGCAGTTGAACGTCATAGTGATTTCTTTGCCATCTGCTGGCAAATCAGATGGAATGGATCCAAAGTTGTCAATAAACAGAGTGAAGTTAATAATAATGTTGTTTTTAAAGGAACGCAAATTTAGTTTGCTCTTTCTCATGTTGAAAACATGGGATACATGTTAGTTGTGAGATTAAATGTGCTGGGCACTCTACAAATAGTGTATGCTGTTGAAAACAGTCATCTTAAGTATAGGAATTTTGTGTAATACTACTAATAATTGTATATAATATATTGTTGTCATGCTGAAGCATTTTTGTATAGCATTTGTACAGAGAGATGTGATAACAACGGGGGATTTTTTTGTGCTCTTCTTTTGTCTTGTGAATCACAAAACATTAATACGAAGTCAAACCGGTGTCTTGTCAGAGAGTTAAGAATTTTTGAAATTGATAAAAGTGGATTACTAAAAGCTGTATTGGATGTTGTCATTTCATATATACTGCTCCAGTTACACCATAATCGAACGAACTCAAAATATATAAATTCCATTTATTCCTGGTTTCAAACAACTTTTGTGTGTCTTTTTGAACCTATTTGTATGTTTTGTAGATCAGCATTTTGAGTTAACATTTTTCCAAACAAATAATAAGGTATCATACTGGGAAATGACTATTCACACATTGAATCAGTTCGTCATTTTTATATACAGAGAAACTCTTTAAAGAATGCAAACTGGCATATGATGTATTTGGTAACAAATGGGAAAGCTTTAAGTTTCAGACATATTCTAGAATGTGACAGGATTGTTGCATATGTTCTCCGTTTTAATTTGTCTTGTGACACAATAGGTGCCAGATTTTTTTGAGTCCTAGTAAAGACTTTTCCAAATAGGTTCACACGGTGTAATTTCATGCACTGTGGAGGGTTATGTCAACCAAACGTTGTGTGAAACATGTTACAAATCCTGACTTGTCCATCACCGCATATACATATATAGTGGTCCAAATGTCAATTAACTTGGCACATTCTCTCGTATTAACGGCAGTGTCCCAATTTAAACGTGTCAGGCAATTTGTAGTAACATATCGCAGCGTTGTAGTTTGTGCGTTTAACATGGAGGATCTCATTTTGAACACTTTATAAATACACTAATAAATTTTTAAACTATTTTAGTTTTCAGTTTACTATATATTTCTCTGACTTTTGGGCCACTATGTATATCTGTGATCACATTATCATTTCTTTGAATACAAAAATTAATCAAACATCTGCTGGACTGACTTCTGAGTCAGTTCTAGTGACATCCAGCAATAATAGGTATTTCATATGTGACCATCTGCACGTAACACAAATTCTTTTAAATTTTATGACAGGCATGTTTCGGCTTATTAGTCATCTTCAGTGTCACATCGCCGTTCCTACCACAGCCACTTCTATGATTTTTAATCATATGTCCTTACCCTGCTGATGCTTGCTTACCTCTTTATTATTGCAAGTTCGAGAAACGTGTTACGTGGATTAGTATATTGTTTACTTATGGTAAAACCTTTAATTTTTTATTTACAAGAAGTAACCTTGATAATCTAATCACAATCGATCACCGATGATCCTATAGCCAGATTTGAAACCCTGTTTGGTGTGGAGAGCTCCGTGGTAGAATACAAAATGGCAGATTAAATTGTAGACGACTATAGGAGTTTGTCTCGCCTGTGGAAGAGCTTTTGCCAGACGCGCTCCTCTTCCACAATTTGAAGGGATGGAGCTGTGACGGCAAGCGTAACTTTTCTTTGAACCAAGAGGGTATGGGGAAATAAAACTTTGTGATGTATATGTGTTTGTGTGTGATAGTGCACCTGCTCCATATTTTGATGGAAACGGACAGTGGTAGAGTAATTTCTTTGTATTCTGTAGGTACGTGGTTCAAGCGTAGTGGCTTCCACTGTCTGTTAAATCCTTCCCTATAAATTATATTAATAATTATCTTACCTATATATGTAAGGCGTAATATAATAAGAGATACAATAAAAATATAATACACGAAACTTTACGTGTATATGAGCCGAGATAGCGTAGTCTGGCCATTGTCGGAACGGTAAGGGTTCATGTCCCGGAAGGGATAAATCTTTTCTTTCGGCCTTGATTTCCAAAAAGACTCTTGAGGCCCACTAGGTCCATTTCAGTGGACACCGGCCGTCCAGCTCGTAGCCATTTGCTTTATCGACTGAACTCTTCCAGTTCTCATACGGGAATGTCACAGGTAAAATTATTGTAGATACACGTACTTCATTAAGGGGTAATGGAAGACTGGAGTTAACCTCCATGCGTTATTAAGCTAGTAGTCCTAGTAGGGTCAGGCAAAGAATGAACACGAGTGGTGGGGGTTCAGATAGGCTGCTCCACTGTCTTTCGACACCAATAATAAAGCAAGACCGCAAAGCGACAGAGAAGGCTGGAGCGAATTGGGTGACAACTGGTAGGAGTGGAGGAAGGCAGGTAGATGGGAGGGCGGGAGAGAATCTGTGGTCATTCTTTCCTTGGTCGCGCTATAGGTAGGGCAGTAGTTAGTTTCACGTTCCAACCGCTTCGCACTCTTAGGAAGAGCCCAGTGGTATCCATTCGATACGATACTGTTGGATTTGGAGCTGGTGTGTGCGTGATGGCGAAGAGAAAAATTCTGTCCTCTGCCGGAAATAGAATTCGTGTCCTCCAGACCGTAATCGGTCACTTCATATACTGTCTTCTACGTGATCACAATATTAAAGCTGTTGTCCTAAGAAAATCTACGTTAAACTGGCACAGGCTGAGGCCAATTGTTGTGGTGACTGCTATGATTGATTCGGTTTCATAACAGGCGCTTTATGAAAACTTCACTGCCTACTCTCCTCTAAGTATGTAACTTCATAAGCGGCCTCCGTAGTCTAGAGGTAATGTTCCCACCTCATGACTCGTACTACGCGGGTTCAAATACCCGGCGGAGGTCATCGAATTTTTAAGGGTGGAAAAATTCAGGGAACAAGTCCTCCGGGAGGGACTTTAAGCAGCGGGGCCCGTGTCACTCATCAGGATTTGATGAAGTAACAAGCAAAATTCTGAAAGCTTGCTCTGATTTAATTAGTTGCCCTTTAACTCACATTTGTAATCACTCATTATACACAGGCATTTTCCCAGACCGTCTAAAAATTTCAATAGTAAAACCAGTGTTCAAAAAAGGAGATAAGTACAGTATGACGAACTATAGGCCGATTTCATTATTATCTACTTTTTCTAAGATACTTGAAAAGGTCATGTACAGCAGGATAAATCAGCATATGCATTGTAACAACATATTGGTCCCAGAACAGTATGGCTTTAGGAAGGGTGTATCCACTGAAGATGCAGCATTCAAGCTAACAGACAATGTTTTAAAATCAATTGACCAAAAAAGGCATGTAGGAGGAATTTTCTGTGATCTGGCAAAGGCTTTTGACTGTGTAAATCATGAAATTTTGTTAAGTAAGCTGCAATT